ACTGGTACATATCTATCATTTAGGGCATCAAATATTTATTTGTTGAGAGGCATTTATTAAACAAAATTCAAACTTCAAAATCTGTATCTTACCTGATGAGGTAGGTTCTGATTTGTTGAAACCTTCCATCCGAGCTATAGCTTCTACACATGCTTTTTCGGCAGCTTCCCTCTCCATGCGTTCCTTCTCAAAATTTCTTTTCAAAATGAATTTTTTTGTCTCCACTAGAAAAGTATAATGTTAAAATTAATCAAGGATATAGGCACATTAAATATATATTTATTTTCACAACTAACAGGTAATATATATAATTACCGAGTTTATGTAGCATTAAAAGTGCCATTCTAAATTTCTGTGGGTTTGTCATATCTTTTGGGCAATGGTTATCAGATATGGTCTTCAGAGTCTGAATGTGATCATCTTCACAGTATTCTTCAAGTAAAGTAACGGCAATTTGTGAGATTGTATCTGTTGATGTTGCAGCCTCTTTGGTTGCCTTGAATATAAGAGCCTCCCATTCATTTTTTGTCATCTGACTGACCATTTCTGCCAAAGAAAAATGCATGTGTTAGATTAAATGCTGTCTTAATGGTAATGTTTTCTTTCTTTCTTTTTTTTTTTGGATGGAAACTACCTGCAATACACTCCAGAATTGATTGTGGCACAGTTGAATGGCCATCGATTATTATCATTTCCTCTTCTTGCTCTTCTCTTTTTTGATCTTCTAATGAGATGTTTCTGGATGTTGTCTTTCCATATCTTGAACTTCTGTTTTCCTTTCTTTTTCTTAATTTTAGACGATTTTCTGATTTTGTGTCCAATTTCTTTTTTTTGGCAGACATTGGTTGTTCTTGAACTCTTTTTCTTTTCTTAGAAGGTTCTGGGATTAGGCCCTCCTCCTTATGTAGCCTGTTGTTTATGTAGGAGGATGCTTCATTGAGTAAAACACTAAGATGTTCTAGTGTAGTTTCATCTTGGCAAAGATAGGTGGCATTTTGAATGATTGAAAGACTCTCTCTACATTTGGTGGCTAAAATTTTTAATTTTGATCTTGGCATTTTTTTGCAAGATGGTAGAGTTGCATCAGAGAGCCCTATGTCTTCACCAGTGATATCACACAATACATCCTCCTCGTCACAAAGTTCATCTTCATTTGTTACAGAACCGGACACTGATATGGACACAACATCAAAATCTAATGTGAAAAAAGGTGAGTTGCTGTAACTCAAGGGGATGTTCTTCCATGATACATCAGGAAATCTGCCATTGATGACTGCAAATATATGTTTGCATGGCAGAAGAGTCCAGGTCCATGCATGACACCCACAACTTGGCATTCCATGGCCATTATCTAACAGGACATCATATTCTACCTTCTTTCGAGAGTCTGACAAACTTTTAATCTGCAAAATAATATTCAACAGATACTTTCAGAATATTGTCTTTAACAGTTTTCTACCTTAAATGCCTCAGGAGAAGTGAAATACAACAATGCCTTTGCTTAAATTATAACTTTGTTAATAAAATACATGTTTATAGTTTTAAACTCAAATTAATTGAAATAATATATTTGAATGCTCATGTATTATTTACACCTTTGTTTCTATTTAAAGCCAATACAACTACATTGTACCTAGTAAATGAACATACCTTAAAACAGTTGGCAGACATCTGCATGATATCGGTCTCCTCCACTGTTTCTGCAAGATCTATTTTCGTCATGCAGTGCTTAATAAAAGATGCTGGTCTGTTCTTCAAAAAATCTGGTATTTCTGCAATATAAGAACGACCAACTCTTTCCGAGGCCAACACGTTGTCACGAGTGTACCTATGAAAAGAAAAGAAATCGTTATGATAATATTCAGAGGTGAAAAAAAAACCTAGAGAGAAAGAAATCTTCAGGATAAAATTCATAGGCAAATATATATTTTTTAGAGATTATGCTTTTCAATTTCAATAGAATATTGAACATACATATGTTATTTAACAGTTATGAGAATTAGAAAAAAGGTGTAGAGCAACAGCAAGCACAGGGTTTCTGAATGAAATAAGTAAAGCTGACAGGTGTGAATATTATTATTGTAAAAATATCTTTTTGATATTAGAAATGAGAATAATTTTTTTTTGTCACATAATTTGAATAAATTACTTTTGAATTAAATTATGATATGTATGCATGTAAGTTGTAAGAAACATGAACTATGTGTCTTTTGTAACATGTTGATATTTATTTACATGTCTATTAATGTAAATTCAGAGTATTTAAAATGGAAGTTACATAAAATCAAAGACACTTTTCACACAAAAGGCAGATTAAAAATTAAAATAGGTATAATTGAAATAATATAGGGTACATGTAAAAACACTTTAACTTTAGCAAATGAGCAAACAGTGTCCAAGGAATGCATTGTTCTGGCAAAAAAAAAATGCTCAAAATCAAGGTTGCTACATGTAGCATTTAACAATTATGAACCATTTTACGTTGATAAATATCTCTGGTACATTAAATTATCAATAGACTACAATGTAAAACTTCCACCCTCCATCACCAGTAATAATTTAATTAAATGAAAATAAAGAATTGAAGAATTTAGAAACATTTTTTAAATACAGTATGTAACTCCAGGAAGCTGCATTTTTTGTAAATTTGAGTCTAAAGTTATTACAAGTATTTTTTATTTTTTTTAACAAAAGTATTATGGACTTCACTTATATTTTATTGAATAGTGTTCCCAAATGGATCATCACAAAATAAAAATGCATCAACGTCTTGGCATTTAATTAAAAATTTACTTACAAACCTTCTCCTTTGGCAAGTAGAAGCTTAATATTCATATTTTCCTTTTAAAAAATTATCTCATTCTTCTGATAAAAAATGAGGCAGAAACATATGTCATAATTAATAGTCAAAGGGGCACAAGATACAGTAGGGTACTCATTCACCTCAATACATGTACGGGGTACACACATACACACACACACGAGATACATACATTTATTCCCTATTAGTTTAATACTCAAAGAATAATTGATAATTACAACTAAGTTGTTTATTTAAAAGTATCAATTAAATAGTGGCAGGAAAGCATTAGAAACAATAAGGTGCAAAAATACACTGCTTATACTTACTGTCTAGGTAATTTTGCTGCTCAGAAAAAAAATTAATATAATATCATGACACATGCATTAAATAATATTAGTGTAAAGTTATTTTGAAAATACTTTTGTATTTTGGTTTCCAATTGTCTTCATAGCAAATTGAAAAAAAAATATCATACATTAGAATGGAACATATATTTTTAACAATACTAATATCTATATATAATTTTTAATCATGAATGATGAAATGTGCTTGTAATGAAATCTCTTTCTTATATTATCTTATTGCTTTGCAATGCATAAACTTGTAGATTAAAAAATGAGTGTATTTTTTTTTTACTTAGGTTTATGTATATGCCAAAGCATGTCTTACAGTACTTTACAGATCTACTTACATGCAGCTAAAGAAAACAAAAATAACATTCAAATTGAATTTTGAAATTTAACATGCTTTTGATGAATGTAATAACAATCAGTTAATAAGGTACTTTCTCTAGACTATCACATGCATTATGATGCTTGAAATAAACAACTAAAATTCAATTGCAATATTTAAATTATTACAAGCATTTTGAGTAATACGTTTAGGTACTTACTTCAGCATCATAGCTGGCAAATACTCAGTGATCAAACTGGAGATCATTCCCGAGAGATGATTATCTTTTCTCTGCTCAAGGAATTTGTATTTGAAAATTTTGTTTTGCCTCTCAAGCCCATTGTTGGTATTTACTAGGAGGCCTTTACCATATCTATAAGCCCAAACCCAACGCTAAAAATGTAAATAAAAAAACTGTTAAATCTCTGTGTTGATTATTAAAAAATAAGTAAAAAGAACAATTGATTAATTTATTAAGCAAGCAGTTGCATTATAAGAAAACTGACAAACTTTATACAGAAACGTGGGCTGTGCTCATATTTTAATTCTTTGCTGAAACTACACAAATTTAATTTTTTACATAAAATATGCATTCATTAACTGATCAAATTTATCTAAAGAAATAAGAAAATATGAAATACTTTTTTCTCTGATAGCCAGGTCTTGTTAAACCAATTCCTGAACCTAGCATTTCCAGTCCACTCCACAGAGTTTGTGAGAGATGCTAGTGCATTCTCAAACTGCTCCTCTGAACAAGAGTGGGCACACCTTCTCAACATGGATAGGACTTTCTCTTTACTTCCAACCACACCATTATCAGTTTTGCTGACCCATCTGGTCCAGCTTTGCTCGCGGTGGAAGTCGCAGAGGAATACAAAACTATCTATAACAAGAATTGTATCAAATATTTCTTTAAAAATAAGATAATAATTTGAATCAGATAGCAAAACAATTTTCTAACACTGTTCCAGGTTACTGAGTACATGTACATCTAACTCTGTCCTTGAAATTCAACTACCTGAGAATGTCTCCTCTATGGCAACTATTTCCCTCTCACAGAAGTCTGTCATGAAAAACTTAGGTTTCCATTCCCAGCCTTCTGGTTTGTCTGGAGCTGTGTTTACCCAGTTTTGGACAGTTTGTAAACCCTGTACAATCAAGTCCTTGGTCTCATTCTGGACAACAAACTCTGCCACAACACTAAAACCAACATTTGTCTTCACGGCCAGAAAGAAAAGAGGTAAAGCATACTTTGTTGTTCTATAGGTGGCATCCAATAGGCAGAGAGCGTTACCATATCTGAAATATAAATGAAATAAATTATCTAAATGTGTCTGGTGTACATTATTCAGAATTTGGAAAAATAGCACTTTAAAATGATACCAATTTCTTTAAAATGAAATGAAACATAACTCACCTATAAACATGCATAACAATATAAACATAAAAGACATTACCTGTAAAGTAAGTGTCTTTGGAACTCTGATTGGTGACAAAAGAAGAAATTGGTTGATGTGATCAGCTGTGAGAAGACCTCATCCTCATCATCTTGCTCAACACACTGTACATTGTTGATGTTGTCTTCATCTAGTTCCTGATCCTGATTGGATGTCGCCGGCAAAAAATCAAAATTATCTTTGGGATAGCTCTCTTGCCATTGACTAACCAATTTCATCAAATTTTCCTGGTCTATTTTGGAATATCTGTGAACAAATTTTAACTGCTTTATATGACTATTGTAAATGACATGTTTTTACAATAGCTAATAGCGAAATAAATTTTCCTATCCTAATATAAGACTTCCATTAAGTACCATTACTATACCTCAGACGAAGTTGTGCTAAGTATATGTGCTTTCTTATTGTGGCATCTGATGGGTAATATGCCGCATCTGTCAGCGAAGGCTTATTGGCTTTGGGGAACATCTGAGTATCGACATACACTTTTAAGTGACGTCGCATTTCCGATACACTTGTGACCCCATGTCCCACCATCTCATAGAGCTTATCTCTTACATCTTTGTTCAGGGGATTCATGAAACCTGTAATCTACACATATATATCCAATTATAATGATAGTCAATTTAAATTAAAAAATACACTACAAATATACTAAAAAGTAAAAACACTCCCAAAACAAAAGTTTTGCGAACCTGACCAATTAGATGCATTTCTTGGTGATCACCATCCTTGGGTAAACTTATATATATTCTATGCTCTTTCTTGATGTCGTTTCCGATAATTTCAAGGTCTTCTCTTAATTTTTCACTTGCAGTTCTTCTTGCTTTTTCTGTATCTTGTTTTGCCTGTGATTTAAATAGTAAAAACATATATCAATACAAATAATTTTTTCTTATATTTTTCACTACACCTATCTTTTGCTCTTATTTTGTATACATTTTGAAACTGTACTCCAAGAAATAAACAACAACAAAAAAGAAAGAAAAAACACTAAGTACAAGTGCATATTAAACAGGAAAAAGCATCCACAAAAAAGTATTTTAAGTGTATTTATATATTCAAAATATTTTGATTACTTTGTTTTAATACAGATGAATACCTTATATTCTGGAAATACAAGAACTTCTTTCATGACAATTTTTGCTGGACATCCTTTCTTTTTCGTTGACTGAATATACTGCCTCCTTTTCAAAGATGAAGGATGATCGCCCTAGGAAAAAAACTATTAAATATAATTCAAGTACTATTCTAAAATGAGTTACTAAACAAAGGTGCAGTAGATTGACCTAGGTTCTATTCAACCCCTGTATTAGTACTCAGATTATAGACTAGGTATTGCACTTACACTAAGTCAGGAACCAAGGAATAGTACTCCTAACCTGGGAGGATCCAGTAGAGTGACCTAGGATCCAGTAGACTGCCCCTGTGTTAGTACTTATATGGGGGACTATGTATTGTAGTCAGGAACTAAGGAATAGTACTCCCAACCTTGGAGGATCCAGTAGAGTGACCTAGGATCCAGTAGACTGCCCTGTGTTAGTACTTATATTGGGGACTATGTATTGTACTTACATTAAGTCAGGAACCAAGGAATAGTACTTCCAACCTGGGAGGATCCAGTAGAGTGACCTAGGATCCAGTAGACTGCCCCTGTGTTAGTACTTATATTGGGGACTATGTATTGTACTTACACTTAGTCAGGAACCAAGGAATAGTACTCCTAACCTGGGAGGATCCAGTAGAGTGACCTAGGATCCAGTAGACTGCCCTGTGTTAGTACTTATATTGGGGACTATGTATTGTACTTACAATAAGTCAGGAACCAAGGAATAGTACTCCTAACCTGGGAGGATCCAGTAGAGTGACCTAGGATCCAGTAGACTGCCCCTGTGTTAGTACTTATATTGGGGACTATGTATTGTACTTACAATAAGTCAGGAACTAAGGAATAGTATTCCTAACCTGGGAGGATCCAGTAGAGTGACCTAGGATCCAGTAGACTGCCCCTGTGTTAGTACTTATATTGGGGACTATGTATTGTACTTACAATAAGTCAGGAACTAAGGAATAGTACTCCTAACCTGGGAGGATCCAGTAGAGTGACCTAAGATCCAGTAGACTGCCCCTGTGTTAGTACTTATATTGGGGACTATGTATTGTACTTACAATAAGTCAGGAACTAAGGAATAGTACTCCCAACCTGGGAGGATCCAGTAGAGTGACCTAGGATCCAGTAGACTGCCCTGTGTTAGTACTTATATTGGGGACTATGTATTGTACTTACAATAAGTCAGGAACTAAGGAAAAGTACTTCCAACCTGGGAGGATCCAGTAGAGTGACCTAGGATCCAGTAGACTGCCCCTGTGTTAGTACTTATATTGGGGACTATGTATTGTACTTACAATAAGTCAGGAACTAAGGAATAGTACTCCTAACCTGGGAGGATCCAGTAGACTGCCCTGTGTTAGTACATATATTGGGGACTATGTATTGTACTTACAATAAGTCAGGAACTAAGGAATAGTACTCCTAACCTGGGAGGAACCAGTAGAGTGACCTAGGATCCAGTAGACTGCCCTGTGTTAGTACATATATTGGGGACTATGTATTGTACTTACAAGTCTGGAACTAAGGAATAGTACTCCCAACCTGGGAGGATCCAGTAGAGTGACCTAGGATCCAGTAGACTGCCCCTGTGTTAGTACTTATATTGGGGACTATGTATTGTACTTACAATAAGTCAGGAACCAAGGAATAGTATTCCTAACCTGGGAGGATCCAGTAGAGTGACCTAGGATCCAGTAGACTGCCCTGTGTTAGTACTTATATTGGGGACTATGTATTGTACTTACAATAAGTCAGGAACTAAGGAATAGTACTCCTAACCTGGGAGGATCCAGTAGAGTGACCCAGGATCCAGTAGACTGCCCCTGTGTTAGTACTTATATTGGGGACTATGTATTGTACTTACAATAAGTCAGGAACCAAGGAATAGTACTCCTAACCTGGGAGGATCCAGTAGAGTGACCTAGGATCCAGTAGACTGCCCTGTTTTAGTACTCACAAGGAGGACTATGTATTGTCCTTACAATAAGTCTGGAACCAAGGAATAGTACTCCTGTTTTTTTTTTAAATTTGTGTTTTAATGATTCTTAATACAATTTACTTACAGAAAGGGCTTGGCTTCTTGAAGTCTGATTTCTTTCTTTCTTTTTCTTGTTCTTATCTTTTC